TGGTTTTGATGTTTCTCCAGCACAAGAAATGCTGTGCTCAAATCCCTATCACTTAACCTACTATGAGAACAACCCTGACCCTTCATCAAGCCCTGCTTTCTATTGCTTTTTCTGTGCCCTCCCTTCTTAGCAAGAGTCCAGTGTCTGACTGTCAGTCTTAAGAGCTAGGATTTGCAGGTCACAACCTGGTTCCTCAGAAGCCAGGTAGTCTCTAGGCAACCCTGACATCATTCCCCTGGATACCATCCCCCAAGGGAGACATGTGACTGATGAGCCTTTCTAGCATGTACTTTGTGTTCTTAACTGGAAAAGCCACTGAGCTCTGGAACATGGCCTCTTAACATGTGTGGTTGGGCATATGTGTCATGTCCCTTAGATGGGGCTACTCAGACCCAGGAAAGGCCGCTCTTGGTTTCACCATTGCCTGGGGAACTGGCTCCTAATCCTCTCCCAACCCCATGCTCCCTGTTCCAGGGTCTCTGCATCACATGCCCCAAACAGCCAAAAGGAAAAGCAGCCATAGGAACTAGAGTAGGGACCACAGCATGTGACCACTACTACCTGGCAGACTGTATAGCATCTCCTAGAGACAGAAAGGTGCCTTCCTCACTTTGCATTTGATGCACCAAGTGTCACCATAACCCCATACCCTAGGAGAGTGCACCATGTGGTTTTAGAACATAGAATAAGGTGTCCAGCAACACCTGTACCCACCAGCACAGGAGTGGGGAGGAGGAAGCACACTAAAATGCAAACTGTACTGTACCCTGGGCGGTGCTAGATACTCTCTGCGGAGACTTTTACAACGTGAGCTCATATGCTTTCTTGAATGCTGCATGTGGCATATATCATCCCAGTGTACCGGGGAGAAAACAGCCCAGTTCGCTTCACTGTCACAGGAGAAGAGAGGGCACATAAACCTGGTTAGTGAACTTCCCAGTCTTGCCTCTGGCCTGGGCCTGACAAAGCACCAGACTTAACAAGCTTCCTGCCTTTAAATTAGCCAAAAGTCCTAGCTTTTGGAAGTCAGAAAATAAAGGCTGCTTCGTGAGGCCCATACCCCCATGTGCCAGGATTGATCTGTGAATCTTTGTTGCTGCAATACTTCTGGGGAGATATGAGGAGGGACCTGTTTTGTTCTCTGTATGGACTTGGCTGGAATGGACCATTTCAGGCAACTACCAAATAGAAATCCCAGAGTCAGTGAAATTATATAATCTTGACCTTATTTATGGTAGAAACAATGACATAGTGTTTTTTTTTTTTTTTTTTTTTTTTTTTGAGCCTGTCATGGAACTAGCTCTGAAGACCATGCTGGCCTTGAACTCACAGAGATCCATCTGCCTCTGCCTTCTGAGTGCTGGGATTAAAGGCATGCAACACCAATGCTCAGCTGACATAGTGTTCTTAATGCCCCAACTCATTGCTGTTACCCTTATACTCTAAAACTATCTGAAGTCTGAAAAGACCAGGGATAGAGGAATCTGAAAAACTGGGTATATGCTAGAGGATTGCAATCTCTGTTTTAACAGCCTTGGGTTGGATAATTCTTTGTTGAGGCTGTCCTATGTATGGTAGGGTCCCTGATTTCCACCCTCTATATGCCAAAAACATCCATCCCCTAGCCATGAGAAATGATGAAGTATCCAGATACTGTCAGCTGTCCCCCAGGGAAGCAAAATTATTTCCAGTTAATACCAGCAGTCTAACCCTGCAGGGCTGGTCCGTATGTCCTGCAACCAAGGATCCACTTTGCTCCTCTCCTCCAGGAAATATGAATTCTTTCTATACCATGTCCCAGAGCTGATGGTACCTGGCTTAAGAAGCAGGTGCAAGGGAAAGGGACAGAAGAGGCAGGTTAACTAAAAGAAGCAAGTAGAGACAATAGGAAAGCTTTTAGAAATAAGAAAGGTTTATTTAGCAAAAGCCACTAACTAGTGACAACATCCAGGGAGTAAGTGCACTTACATTAACAGATCGTTTCCCAGAGAGCTGATCCAACAGTTAATGACACAACCGTTTTAGGAAGCAGAGGGCTAGCGGGTGGGAGGGAGGGAGGAAGGGAGGGTGTGGGAAAGCAGTCAAGCAGAGTATAAAGGAATACAACTCATAAACAAGATAGGCTGAGAGGAGCGAGGCTCAGAAAGGTTTTTACAGATAGCATCAATATAAGCAGGAATATAAAGGAATATCATTTTCAGTTCCCATATGCAGTCCATCCTGTGCAGAGAAACTCTGTCCTGCCTCTGCAGCTGCAAAGCCTTGTACGCCCAAGAGCTTTCTGGCACCTGGGGCAGGTTTCAATAAGGAAGCCCCGGTGTCCAAGCGTCCTCCACATAGGGCAGAGCAGAAGGAAGGAGAAAGGCAGAGTTGAGTTAGCAGAGCAAGAATCAAGGAAGGTGGAGGAGGCTGCTGGGAGATCAGGTCTGCGATGTCCCTGTCCTGTCCATTGACCTAAATGGAGGGTTGGGGGCTGGTGGCCCCACAAGACCACCAGATCTGTTCTGTGTGTCCCAGTCCCACATACCAAGTGTGTCAGGTCTGGGTCTTACTAGGGAAGGTATTGGCACGTGAATGAACTCTCCAGTGAAGGCTGCAGTCAGGGAAAGGGGAGGGTCAAAGAAGGCAGGAATCAAGGGCAAAAGTCTCACATGACTTCCAAGTCAGCACTCATCCATTAACCAGTCTCTCCAATTCTCTACCTCACTTCCATCCTTTCCTTTAAGAAACACCATCTTTCCCACAACTTCTCTACTCCCTACAGCCCTTTCCACTTGCAGCCCATACACCTCCATTTGTCTCTGGTTTTAGCCTTACCTCCTGTTCACAGGAACAGACCACCCACTCTTTCAAACAGGCAAAAGCTTGTATCCAAAGGTCCTAGACTCAAGGAACCCTGGGCTGGGATTGAGTATGTTAGACAGACTCATCCAAACTTGATTCCTGCCAGCTGCTCCTGCAGTTGTGTGGACCTCGTGTCTCAACCTCTTCCTTCCTTGTAGATCTGGACCTCCCTCCGATGGCTAACAAGAAGATTAACAAACAGAATTCTACCTCTTCAACTAAATGCAGGCTGGGAAAAGGCTATATAGCACTATTGATTATCTGAACACCCTAGAGATCTTTCTAGTCACTTCTCACAAGTCCAAAAGTATGTCCTTGCCACACACACACACACACACACACACACCCACACCACCCTATTACTGTGGACACCCTGATGCACCAGGGAATAACAATGTAAAGCTATATTAATTTCCTTTAACTTGACTTTTTAGTTTAAAAGAAACCCCTGTGGCTATAAGAAAGGGCAATGCTTGCATTCAGATACATTTCAAGGCAAAGCTGGAGCTGAAGAACTCAATTGGGGCTACTCTGTCCTTATTAAGTGTCCCCCTGTCCCTCTGCTAATACTGCAGTTTGGCCTAAAGCTTATCCACTACCCTCAAGCCCACTCACCCTCCCCCAATCATATGACTTTGAACATATATCGGCTATCTGTTTGGGAGTTGGAAAATATATTAAACAGTTAAGTGTATGTGGGGGGGCTTTTCTTTTAAGCCTAGCCAGCCTATTACTGAGTGGAGATACCTAGGCAAGGTCTAGATGACAAGAGATTAAAGTTGCATTTTTAACACTTGTGCTCAAGGCACGCCCCCGCAGAGAGATGGCTGGGGTGGCAGGCATGGCTGTGGTCCCTGATCTAAGTGGCAGTGATTCTGAAGGATAGACAATCTCAGCCATCAGTTTGCATCTCTTTACTCTCTCTCTCTCTCTCTCTCTCTCTCTCTCTCTCTCTCTCTCTCCATTTTTTATTGCAGTTAATACTGACCACTACAGCCCAGTGGAGGGGACAGGTACAGAGGTAAGGCAAGGGGGCTCTGGGGCTCTGAGACTTGTGTAGAGGCATGGTACTGTTAAAAGGGGGGTATTAGGGTATTTCATGGCCTCATTTATATGAGCTGGGCTTCAGGCAGGATATAGGTTGGAGCAGGGTTTCCAAACTGAAGAATCAGATCTAAGTGAGCTGCAATGGCAATAACATCTTTCCCCTGGGCTCTCACAGCAGGGTCCTGAAAGGTCTTAACACTCCCAGCCTACTCAAAGCAACATCTAACACCCAGCTAGAGAAAATTCCTAGTTTATGCACTATGACTTGTGACTCCTCTAAATTCCATACTTAGGCATAGCCTCACTTTCCTAGAAGCCCAGAGCATCCAGCCTCTACAACCTCAGCCAGGGCCTGGGGAAGGAATTCTCTTATAGCTCAAGGGAAGGTTAGGCAACTTGTAGCATCCTGATATCCAAAAACAAAGTACCTGAGAAGGTACCAATGGCATCCCTTTATGGTCTGCACCACAGAGACAGGAGAGTGTGTGGGTCACTGAGGCATCACCGGATAGATTGATTAGAACCTGACTATAATAGTGGGAGCAACAGGCCTTCCAGAACTGTGGTTCTGAGGACAGACTCTCTCCCAAGGTCCTGGAAAGCCCTGTTCCAACCCCTTCAGTCATTAGCAGAATGCAGGTGCTGATTCCTGTCTCTGGGAATCCAATTTCTCCTCCACCCATTTATCTTCTAAAGCAAAACCCTGACCCTCCTCTGAAACCCTATACTCTGGGCCCTGGGTGTTATTCTCAGTGGCGCCTTCCCTGGGCATCCTCTGCCAAGGAACAGGCAGACTTGACCCCCTTGGCATCATGCTGCCACCTCCTCCAACTCCTTGCCCTGCACCTACACGGCGATCTCATCATCCAAACTGTCACCTAACTCCTGCCGCTGCAGGACATTAAGCAGGCGTGGCAGCTCTTCCTGGGACCATGAATCACGCTCCTCACTTTCGTCCGTGTTGGACTCATACTCAGAGGCAATGCCTGACTCCCGGAACTTGATGAGCTCCAGGCCACCCAGGAGTGGCTCTCCCTGAGCCATTGGCCGGGTATCCTCAGGTGGGAGGAAACGAAAGCACTCCAGTTTCACCAAGCAGTCACGCCTACCTAAGGGGCTGCCCGCTGGGTGGGCAAAGTCAGCCAAGCCGGCGCCCAGCAGCGGTGAGTGTAGGTCCTCTGGCTTAGGGGTGGTAGGTTCACAGAGCACAGGCAGGGCACCTGAACGGAAGGTGATCTCCAGCAAACTGTCCTGGGAGCCCACTGCAGGAAGACAATAGACAAGGAGAAGCAATGTTAGGCAAGGCTTCAGATGTGAGCCTTCATTTATCACTATTAACCCGCAGGATGGAAAGGCCTGGTTCTGACAATTCCAGTCCCTGGAAGGGCCCTTGCTTGAATGACTCTGCAGCATCCCTGAGAGGTTTTTCAACTTAACCCAACACTCCTTCCCTTCTGCCCTTGCTGCATCAGATGGGGAATAGCTTTCTGAGAGTTGGGAAGGTTACAGGAATGCTCTGTTAGTGGATTTGTGATGGGGGAAAAGGTGCCAACCCATCTACATTCCAAATACGGGGTAACAGCTAAACGTCGAAGAGAGGCATCTGCACAACCAGAGCATCTTACCCACAGTGGCTCCCAGCTATACCCTTTAGACACTCAGCCCTGCCTCTGATGACTGCTGAGAAATCTCCATGGGCTGCAGTGTGTGACAGCCGTGAGGGGTAGCTTTAGGGAACTAATGGGTTAGTTAGAATAAACATATTTGTGATGACGCCTAAGTGTGAGTCTCAGCTTCACTCACTGTTTGCTAACTGTGTGATTGTGAGCTACTTACTAAACCTTTCTGAGTGTGTTTCCTCAGTTGTGCAACAGTCATGACAGCAAAACTACTACAGAGAATAAGTGAGCTTACACGTTAAAAAACTCCATCACATTGTGTAAGAGCTGATCAGTAAGCATTTGTCAGCACAGTCAATACAGGCTTCGAGCATGCCCAGAACCTACCCACAGGAAGGCTATAATGAAGACCTGGAACTAGACTGCCTTTTGCTTCCCAGTTCAGCCTGGAGATGTCTGGTATACAGGTAGCAAAGAGTCTTTGACCAGGGGCCACCCAGTCTAGTTATGGTCACAGTTACTCAGCCACATTATCAATTAAATGGACCTATATCTCTCAATGCAACAGTGTAGTGAACTATGTAGTGTAGAGAACCAACTACTACAGAGTTTGTGGGACCCACAGAGTTCACAACATGATCCCATATGGGCTCAGTCTATCTTCATTGGGGCATCCCTCTGAGGAAGAAATGGGCTTTTGTGGAATGTAAAGTGACTGAGCTCCTTATAAGGAGAGAGTGGACAAATATGTAGCAATGTCTCCCGGGAACCTTCACGGTCAAGTCTAGGGAGTGGATAGAAGGCAGCCAAGCTGTACTCTGGCCCTGTAATTCTATAATTTATGAGATGTACAGACTAATAACAATGCTGCCTGTGTTCTGCTGAAACATAAGGACAGCATCAAGGCTCCGAAGCAAAGTATCCCTGGGTTCGTGGAAATAACTTATTTTACGAAGCTTGTACACAGATACCCCTACTGGATGGGATCCCGGCTTACTGGCATTCTGTCCTGACAGCTTCAGCTCCAGCTCCTGCACCTGCTTGACCAGCAGAGAGATGTGCTGGAGCATGTCTTTGTTCTGCAGTAGGAGCTGGTGCACGCGCGCCTGGGCCTCTAGCCGTGCAGCAGCCTCAGCAGCCAACTGATCCTTCAGCAAGTGAACCTGCAGAGGGTGAGGAGGAGAAGGCAGGAGGACAGAGAGAAGGGAGGGGCAGAGAAAAGAGAGGGGCATTACTACAAATGACAGATGCCAATGGATGGCCAGGATCAGAGATGCCCCTCTCCACATTAGATTTGAGATGAAGAAACCCTGCAAGGAAAATTGGGTGCCTAGAATCGTAAGTTTGGAAAAGTGGCCAAGAGAAGATAGGCCACCAGTCCCGTGGGCCTCTCTATATGCTTCAAGGGTACATGAAGTATGACTCAGGACTACCCTGGGCCTCATGTCAAGTGCAAAATGTTGGAGAGATGTTCTCACTACCTGCAATGCCTATGTAGATTAAACTGTCCTCCACTCCTGTTTTCTCTTTTCTAACTTCAATTTGCTTGTTTTGAGATAGGGTCTTCACATATAGCCCTACTTGACCTGGAACTGACTATAAAGACCAGGCTGACCTTGAACTTGCAGTCACTGCCCGCCTCCCCAGTGCTAGGATTACAGGCATGTGACATCACACCCTGCTTTACCCGTATCTTTTAAAAAGCAAACATAGCCAGGTATGATGGGGTACATGTAGTAATCCTAATACTTGGGAAACAAGCAGGAGAATTTTGAGGTCAGTCTAGTCTATATAGTAACTTGCAGGCCAGGCAGGGCTACCTAGCAAGACCCTGCCTCAAAATCAATTACAAAAATAATATGCAAAAGCTAACATCAGATGACTAGCCCATCACCACATGTTCCCCGACCCCAGTCCATAATCTTTCCTTATATTTTCCTGAGACACAGGAGGTAGAACTACAGTGCTGTTAGTGAGCTGGTTATAATGAAGCTTGGCTTCTCATACCTGGGTACCAGCTTTTCCATCTTTCTATTCTTTCCTTATTCTTAATGGATGCCCATAGAATCCCTGATTCAGTCTAGGAAGGTGTTAAATGTTTGTTGAGTGAGTAACTATCAGTAGAGATGTCTAACAGCCACATAAAGCTGAGGTTGGTGTTTACAGTGAGTACTTCATCTATTCACATGCTTCTTGTGGTACAGAGGTCAGCCATGGCACACTCAGTGGGCTCTATGCCAGTGCTGTTTACATGCCCATTCCTGGTGTATAACTCTTGAGGGGAGGTAAAACCAGTAGGGGGAGATGGGGCAATTATATCCAGGACTCTAACTTCAAGGAAATGGAAGGTAAGTCAGTGTTCTTGTTTGCACATATGTGTTTTCTAGTACTAGGAAATGAATTGGGAGGCTTTTAGAAGGCTCTTGGAAAAGGGAATGGATGAGTTTGGTCACTTGGAACCAAGCCAGCCTATAGGGAAGATGGCTTTCTTGGGACACAAAACATGGTTTTGACACAGAATCAGAGTGGGCAGGATGTTGGGTGGGAGAGCTGGATGAGGGGAAGCCTCTCCTGGTTCTTTCTCAGGAAAATGATCCCCAAGTTTAAAAAGCAGCAGCATTCCCTAGGAACTCGCATTTTGCTGAGGCTGACCAAGGTACCTGCAGGCCTCTACATCTGCCTTCTTGGGACACAGTACTAAGAAAATTGTGCTCAGGTAAAGTGGCTGCTTCCTTCTTTGCCCAGTTCTTAAGGCCTGGCCTTTAGTTGGCTCCGAACTGAGCAAGAGCGCTAATGAGATTTGCTGCCACTTTTCATTAGTGGACCATCAAGGTTGGGCTCATCCTTCCCCAGGGAGAAGAGGCCTAATGAATCTAAAGAACATCTCCAAAAAGGACTGCTAAGGACAGAACTCTTGTTTTGATCAGGATATCGATCTCCTTTGCTGTTTCATGTTCCAGGAGGAATCTGAAGAGGGGTGAGACCAGGAAAGGGAAGTGTCAGTAACACTGTAGCCAGGGGTTCTGATGGAGGGTGGCTAGGAAACCTGTAGCTTCCTGGGAAACAGAGGCATGGAAATTTTTTGCCCAGGGGTTCCCTAAATCCTACTGAATCTAAGAAACAGGGAAATGGCTGTGAGAGGTCCCCTACTTGTAACCCCACAGGATGGGCAAGCCCAAAACTCGACCTGCCAGTACTGTTACTTACATGAAATGAGAGTATTGGGGAAAGGACTCTACCATCCATATAATCTACTGATTAGATCTTTCATTTTCTACTTACTTTGGAAGCAAATAGAAATGTAAGATAGTGGATTTTCAGTGGATAACCAGAGACAGTACAGAGTACACCACCAATTAGCATCTGTTATGGGCTCCCTACACATTTGCTACACCCGCAGGTTCCAGCATCTCAACAGAATAGACCATTAGGAAGCAAGCATGGGACTAGCAGCTGGGGTACTGGAGTCTTTACTTACTTCTGAGACAACCAACTACAGGCAGTTTACTTTTCCCTAGGCTTCATCTGCCCCATCTGTCAATAGGGAAGGCTGGCTAGGGGCTGAGAGGGTGGATTCTGCATTCAGACAGATGGTTGTAAACATTGGGGGGCCACTTAAAAAAAGTCCTCAGTCCCCATGGTTACACCTGAGAATTAGGAAGGAGAACAACAACAAAAAAGTTCCTTCTTGCAGAAGTTAGGGAAGTGCTGGAAGCTTCTCTGGCAGTTATCCACCAGGCTCCAAAGGTGAGGCACCCTCACCACCTGAGAGACGATCCTTGAATTGTACGCTTCAGGTAAAACCCACTGACATTAAGTGCCATGAGCACTTAAGTGCCTTTTGTCCCAGACTACCTAAGAATTTCACCTCTGCAAGTGCAGAACTGTATCATTTCAGATGTTTCTAAGCTCCACGAGCACAGAAACAACGCACTGTCACTATTCAAGCCAGCACTAATGAGCCTCCTGCTTCTGCAGCCATCCCGAGTGGCAATCAGGCATGTGGCTCAGACCTCAGCCCTGCAGAACTATAAACAGGCCACGTGAGGACAACACGGCTTAGGAGTTCTTCAAACTCCAAAACCACGTTTACATGGGCTCCAAGTGTTAAAATGAGGTAGCTTCACCCTTGGCTTGGGCCCTGTTTCTCCACTAGGACAGGAGTAGAAGGCACCACCCCGCCCCCGACACACAAATCATGGACCTTTACCTTTAGCACACATTTCTTTCAGAGAATTGAATGTTTTCCACAAAACTGACCACAGTACTTTCTGAAAAGGTCACTGGGTCACTGGGAAACATCTCCTCTCCAGAGCCATGACACCTTGGGTACGGACAACACCACTCAGACTAAGCCAGCGGCACAAACACAGCAATGTGGCACTAAAGCCACACTTAGTGTTGGCATCCAGCTCTGCATCCCAACCCCAAAACAGCATGTGTAACACCAACCCTGTCCCCTCCAGCTCTGTGTCACTTCCCCAAATTCTGCCACTCACCCTTTACCCTCCCGACCACCTCAGACCATTGTCCCACTCACTCTCCGGCCTACTTGCCTGGACTCCAGCTCCTCCATCAGAAGTGGGGGCAGGGCCAGGCTGAAATTAGGGAGTGGCAGGCACATGGAAATGGCAGTGGAGATAACCAGAGCAGTTTGCCCTCACCCCTTCCCCATACCAGACAAAAGCAGAGGCGGGCAGCACTGTCTCAGCATGCATGTGCCAGGGACTTAGGCAAGGCTGGGGACTGGGAGAAGCCACAAGGACCGATGCTACGTGGAGGGCCAGGGTGGGGGGTGCAGAGCATTTTCATCACTGTTTGTCTAACCACAACACACTATCACAAAACATAAAAAACACATTACTTGTTCCTAAATAAGCAGAAGGGGCAACAGGCAGAGGAGGTCTTTAAGCAGCAACAATGAGCTTCACTATCATTTCCCCATGAGTTAGGCTAGGGCTTAGCAAACTGTAAAGCCCACTTAACTGTTGCCAGTCAGCCACAATCCTGGAGCCAGGCAGGCCCAGCATGCAGCTATGCAGGCACCAAATACATCCCAGGCACGATTCAAGGTGCGGCTGTGGTTTTCATCCACACCCTTGAACTTCTGGTCCATGTAAAAGCAGAAGCTAATGCAGCCAGGCGAGCCTCATGCTGGGCTGAGAGAGCCACAGAGGGACTGGGGTGATTCACTATTTCCCACTGCAGAATGACCTGGAACTCTTAGTTGGTTAACATCATCTTTGCCCCCTATATGTTTTAAGGCCAAGGAGGGCCTGTTCAAGATCAGCACTGAAAGAATTGAGGTCAGGCTGGAAGAGATCTTGGGGTCTTAGAAAAAGTCTCAACAACATCAAAAGGAACTAAACAGGGTCCTAAAGGCAACAGCCAAATCAGATTGGTGTACGGGGGCAACTGCGGTGGGGGACATGAAGAATGAGATAAGAGACTTCAATAGCACACATTATCTGCAAGACATTGGGGCTTTACCCTTAGATTTTAAACTGAGAAGTATTACAGGAGGGTTTGGGAGCTCAGAGAAAGGGAAACTGTTCTCATCCAAAACACTAAGTTGACAGTTTCAACTACTGAATTCTGGGGACCACTGGTAGTTAATGAAAGACTTTGCAGCGTGCTACCAGTAGTCCAACAGAACAAGGGGAAGTGGGCTTCCCCTGGGGAACTAATCAGTCCTGCAGAAGAATCAGGTCTGTTGTAGGCATGTGAAAGATGCCAGGATGACCTGTCATCAACCCACTTGCATGTCTTACATAACTGATTGTTCCCACAGGTGAGACAATGACAAAAAGTTCTTTGACCAAATCCTACAGTGTAAGAGAGCTTGAAGAGACTGAACCCACCTGCAGGACCAGGGGGCCAAGGACCAGCTGAGAGGTACAATTGTGTCCCTGGCAGTAAACAGAAGATAGAAGGAAAGTGGTCAGAGACCAACTAAGGAGAACAGCAGAGACAGGTAGAGGACTATGCGCTCAGAAAACCATCAGATGACCTGAAGTCTACTTTGATGGAAAGATCAGAAGTCTACCACTCTACTCAAAGGCATCACTGCCCCATGGCGGCCTTTCAGCATATTACTGCTTGAGCTGAGAGTCCAGCAGCTCACTGCCAGCTACATCCAATAGATTCTGAATAAACGAGAGGCTTGGGGCTGACCAACCTGGTGAAATGCCTAGAACCTAGAACACGACATTGTTCCCTTTCCTTAGACTCACTGTCTCCTAGGAGAGAGGCGATGAGAATAGGGCAGGGCATGGGTGTTTTGCTAATACAGATAATTGCTATACCAGAAAACAGCTCTTAGGTTTGGTTCTGACCGAGGTGAACCTGTGGTAAGTTGCGGATCTGAGTGCAGGTTGAATGCTTCCTTCCACTGCCACCATACTGTGTGCAGATTCCACACTTAAACTGGTTTTCTCTTTAATGCTTAGCTGAGACTTCAAAATCAGGTGTCCTCTGCTAATAAAACAGCATGAATATGCATCAGGCCTACTCTTGGATAAATAATAATTACTTGGGAATTGATATGCTGAGAGAGAATTGTTTGGAGAATGGATCTGTATTCAATGGAAAACTTGGGGGAAATGCTGAGTCTGGTGATGGGCTGGGCCTGAAATGCTCAGGCTTTGTGTTCCTGTCATCCCCCACACAGAGGAGGAGGAGAGTCTCAGACTGCCATGCTGTCATCAGGCAGAGATGGATTCTTTAACTTGACAAAGAATGATTTCTTTTCCCTCCAAATATAAGAAGCCATTACTGACATTTCTTTTTATCTGTTGCTGTTTTGGAAACACCTGCAGTTCCTCCCATCAGCATGGCAAATCCTTTGGTTTCACAGTCCAATCTCTGATTCCCACACCACCTCCAAGGTTCTGTCTACTACCTTGGAGCATCATCCCACTGACCCCACTGTCTTGAAAATGTGGAGTGAAAGTGATCCATAAGGCTGGTGCCTCAGGAACAGTCAGCGAAGGCTGGATGACTAGAGGGCTCTTTCGGGCCAAGCCTTAGCAGACTTTACTAAGGACAGGCTACTGGATGCTTCCTGAAGGTGTACTGAGGAAAGGATCACTCTGCCAGGGGGAGTCACTTCATCAAGGAGCCAGGGAGAGAGGAAGCAGAAGACACAGAAGGATCAGTAAGTTCTCCCTGGACGAGTCTGCTTCCTGTACAGAACATGGAAAAATCTCAGCACCCAGTCAAGCCAAGCCGATTCAGAAGGCTAGAACACACAATATCCTTCACAGACTACTCTCTACTATCCCATCCCATCCTCCTGACTACCTTCATCTACCCACATAAGGCCTGATCCTGCCTGGCTCTGGCTTTACACTTCAGCCTTCATATGGAAGGGATGCATGTGTCTTCACCATGTCCTGACTTGCCCATCAAGAGAAGGCTCACACTACAGAACTCCAAGTCAGCATGAATGACAGCGCCCTCCAGTGGAAATCAAACAGAAAGGATTCCCACTGAAAGTAGCAAGGACAATCAGCTCAGTCCTCTCCCACAAAGCAGCAACAGTCCAACCCGACTTCAGGGTATAAACTCCATCTGGATGCTAAGAGGTAGCCACTTCTCAAATGGCTCAGATCATCTACTTAAATTCCTCTAAGTTCATTCTATGATAATGAATTCCTAATCAAATACTGTCTGAAATAAGTAGGTCATTAATGTAGGCTTGAGTACCTGTTATGGTCAAGAGTGTTTGGGATGCCAGAGCAACAGTCTGTGCAAGGATGCTGGGCACACATACTTTGGGCTGTTTAAGAGGTGTCACACCTGTCCTAACTTCAGGCATCCCTTCCTACCCCAAACATGAAGAAACAAGGTAGGAAAGGGAGGGTAGACTGTGTACATCTTTTTCCTTGGTAAGTTCAAGTCACTATCCAATAACGTTCAGCCAAGCCAGCCAAGCCTAACTCAGAGCGAGGGATACATGGGGAACCAATGTGTTTTTTCACTTTAATGGTAGCCCCAATCTGTCCCCCTCCCCTTTCACCTCCTGGAACCCCATCAAGCAATCATCCAATAGCATGAGCAATTCCTTAGCGCTCCCTAGGTTTTAACCCTGCCCTGAGCCCCTTGCTAGGGAAGGTGCATCAAGCCCATGAGAGTGGGGCCTGCGAAGAAGGGAGGAGGCTGAGGAGGACCTGGGCCACAGCCACTTGCGTCTGCTGCTGCTGCTGCTGGAGGAGCTGCTGGAGGAGCTGCATCTGGTGGTGAGTGGACAGGGGCGTCCCTGTGCCCAAGCCTGGTGGCTTCAAGGAAGAGGAGGAAGAAGAAGGCAGCAGCATCCGAGGTGAGGCTGTCAGCATGGGCTCCTGAGGATGGGGCGAGACCTGAGGAGAGAAGACAGAACATGGCTCATAGGCAGAAGCCACCTCTGAGGTCCTCACTCTTACTGTAATATTCATGACAGATACACAGGCAGAGTGAAACCCATGTACTGGAGATGATGCATCTTAAATGACAGCAATAGCTCCAGGGAGGAAATGCTGGCACACCTGAGCTTGGACCAAAGAGCCAGAGATTCTATCTCCATCCCTTGGGAACATCATCTGCCAATAGGGTAGGAGACAGGCAGCTGGTAAAATATTGTTTTTTTTTTTAACCCCTCATTTCCAATTATACACCCTTCTGATGAACTGGGGTTCTGGCTTTAGAATCTATGTTTGTTTACACAGCTACCTATCATGTCACTATGACAACAAGAGGGAGATGGCCTCGGTTCTTGCCTGCACTGCCCTTCACTTCCTCTACCAGGGTCAGATGTTTCACCCTTGCCCATCTCTTCTCACATTTGGACATCATAACACATGATCTAGAGGGACCGCTCTTAGTTAGGCGGCCACAGCTGCTGCCTCTTTCTCCTGATGACACTTTCACTCAGATGGCTCCCACAAGTCAGAGTTCATTGCCAGGGAGGTAGTTTTTGTTTCTGGTGGCTCTGCTGACCCTCAGACACGCAGGAAGAAGGCACTCAGGGATGGAGCTATATTGCCCCTTGTAGAGAGAAGTAATGGGGCAGCAGAGGAAACAGGAGACACTGCCCACCAAACCACAGGTGCTTCCTCATGAACTGGCCTACTCTGAGATGGAGGATGCAATTTGCCAGTGAGCTTCCTGGGAACCCAAAGGTCAGGAACTTGCCTTTCGTTGTTGGTTTTTCTTAGTTTAGTTGTCTTCATGTTTTAATTTAGTCTTGGGGCTCTTGGGGCTTGTTCCTTTTTCTGGATCATATTAAAAGCTCCCCTATGCCTGAGTCATCCCACCTGTGGAATGCTAGGCTTGGGGGTGCCGATGCCTGCTTTAATGGGGGTAGGTGTCTCAGTTTCTAACATGCAGTGAGCCAGTTTCCAGACTCAACAGAGCTGTTATCCAGGAGTCTTAATGGCACACAACCACTGGACAAGGTAAGAGGGCTCAAACAGACTGGCTGCTTTAGCTAAGTCACATGATCACTGGTATCACATAGCATAGGTCTCTGGATGAGTCCTGCACAAATACCACAAGATACTATTGTGTAGGGAGAAAGGGCTAGAACATCGATGGGATCCCCAGGCTGGCAACATACTTCAGAAATGAGCTCCACAGCACCCTCTGGCATGTGGGTGCTGAATCTGCAGAAGTCAGACACACACACACACACACACACACACACACACACACACACACACACACAGGCTAGCACTGCCAGGGTGTGACAGGGCACAGCACTTGAAGCTGCAGCAGCGGGGGGCCAGCTGTGACACAGCTTGCTCTCAGAGGCACCAAGCCCACACACGAAGATAACCTACCGTAGAGTCTATGTGGGAGCCTCCTTCCTTTCCTACAGCATCCAGGTCTGTGACACCTCGGCTGAAGTTGAGAACATCATTCCCGGGGAGTGGGACCTCCACAGCATCAATGTCAGTCTCCTCTGCCGTGGCTGTGGAGGCCCTCTCGGCTCCAGTGAGCTGGCGGCCTGCAGGGACAACAGGGCAGGGAACCGTGACATAAGGAACACTATATGTGCTTTATTTTGTTAGTTCTCCCTTAGTCAAGCTCAGGCATGCCATGGGCTTTCTCTGACATTTCACACATCCTTTTGTTTGAGTACACCAATACACTTTTTCAACCCAGTATGATACGTCTAGTCTAGTCTGATATCATAAAGTTCAGAAACAAATGAACATTTCCTCAAGCTGTATGCAACAGCTCTGTCACCTGGTACATTTCTACCAGCAAGACTAGAGGCTCTGGAAGAAAGGGCGTTGCCAGCTTTAACTTCATCACAGTACAGGGCTGTTTCCCAGCTTGGCACTTACTCTCATAATTCCTCAGAGAATATTTTCATACTCTATATTTGAGATTAGGTTTGTCAATATGTTTTGTTTTGGTGTTTTGAGATGGGGGCTTCACTCTGTAGCCCAGGATAGCCCCAAACTCACTCTATGCCTACTTTCCTGTCTCTGCCTCCTGAGTGCCGGGATTACAGGAAATGAGCTACCATGAGCCTCTGGGTTCACTACTATTGTCTTCAAATACAATTTTTAATAGTTTTCAGAGACTGAGCAACAGTTGGAAAATAGGGCTGGGTGGTGATAGCAGGGTACACACAGTACTGATCCCTAATGTTGGAGCTAGCCCAGACAACCAGGTGCCAGGCATGTATCTGTACATGTACAGAACCAGTGACTCTAAGGCCCTCCTAAGTAGACGCACTTGGTCACATAGGTGAGCAAGCCCCATATTTAGAAGTCAAGAGTATGCTAGGTTTTCCTTCTCAGTGATCCTTGAGCTGGAGAGATGGTTCTGCTGAGGGACATAAAGGCAGTTAATGGGAAGGGTGGTCCCGATGACAGCCATTCTGGTCCTTGGGGAGCTAGCAGACAGAGAGCCCAGGCCTAAGCAGACTTAGCATATGGGTTCAGGGATCAATAAAGGTTCAGCCTGAAGACAGAAATTTACCATAAGTGCAAATCAGAAAAGAACCCAGGGACCACATCCAGGAGAAACTTCAACGCTTAAGAGGGAAGGAGGCAGGAGCGGGATCTTCGGGGGATGCTGAGAGCAGACAGTAGAGACAGGATGAAAGGATGGAACACTAGTCTAAAAACCAGGTTGGACAGACAGAAATAGAGGATACAATGGTGTTTCTCAGGGGTGAAGAAGGTAGAAGGTGGTGGAAGGTGAAAGGACACAAAGGTGCAGGAATACACTGTGACTAACCTAGAATGCAGGACACAGGACTCTGGCTACCAGTGTATATACTCTAGGTTGTTTTTTTGTTTGTTTGTTTGTTTTTTGGGTTGTTTTGTTTTTGTTTGTTTTTTCCTTTTAAGATTTATTTATTTATTTATTTATTTATTTATTATGTACAGTGTTCTGCTTGCATGTATCCCTGCATGCCAGAAGAGGGCACCAGATCTCATTACAGATGGCTGTGAGCCACCAAGTGGTTGCTGGGAATTGAACTCACGACCTCTGGAAGAGCAGCCAAGCCAGTGCTCTTAACCTCTGAGCCACCTCTCCAGCCCCATACTCCAGGCTTTTACTCAGAATGGACTTAAGGTATTCTTTCCAAACACACATAGGAATTGGGAATGTATACATATACGGATATATTTTTGGCTTTTTAAAGCTGGCCTGAAACTATTTGGCAATCTTCCTGTGTCAGCCTCCTGAATGCTAGGATTACCTGTGTGTGTCACCATGCCCAGCATTTATCAACGTATTTTTATTGCATTTATTTATTCATTGGTGTGTATGTGTATGGATGAGTATGTGTCATGGTACACCTGTGTAGGATAGAAGATAACTTATATGAATTGTTTCTGTCCTGCAATGTGGGTTCCAGAGATCAAACTCAGGTTGTCCGTCTTGGCAGCAAGTACCTTTACCTGCTGAGCTCTTTTGCTGGCCCCTAGCAGGTTTTATTTTGAATAAGTCCTTCCAAAGGCTTCTCAGTCTATGAATATGCTGGACAGTTGCTACATGGGAGAAGGCATACCTCCAAGGAAACAGGATCTCTCCCAGGAAACAGGCAATGAAAATTTGAGCAGTGGCCCCACCTTGCTCTGAGCCTTGGGGATGGCCAAGGGCAGCTGTTGCCAAAAGATACAAAAGATATACCTCCCCCACCGCACAGGGAACAGGAGAAGAATGATGGAGAGAAGAAAGGCACAGAGCAGGGAAGGAGAGAGGAGGTACAGGGAGGGGTGTGTCAATAACAACACTAAAAACCCCCCTGAATCCCAGGAGAGAAGTGCTGAGATCAAAGAAGGCAGGGCAGCTCCCAGCACTTGCCCTTTTCAATTTCCAAGGGTAAATAAGTTTCCTCTGGACAATAAAGGGCCTGCCATCCCATCACAGGCAGGCAGGGCTCTCCTGGAAAGATAAACACTGCATTCACTGAAAAGCTGCGAACACAGAAGCCAGATCCCCACAGGAAACCATCCGTCTTCCTCTGGACCTTCATAGGAAAATCCTTCTCGGGAGGGCAGATGAGAGAAGGAAAATATAGATTGTCAGCAGTTTATACACACCAAGAAGGTGAGTGGGAGGTAGTGTCCAGGAGAAGGCAGTGAGCAGCCTTCCTGAAGAAGAAAGGGTTCCAACCTGAGACCCAAATGACACTGGCTGCTGACATGCAGGTACGCTCAGCCTCAAGGCCACAGGAAAGCCAGATCAATCACTCAGCTTTTACCTGCTGTGAACTACAGACCTTCAGAGCATCCCCCACCCCATTTTCTTAGGCATGTGTTCCATATGCAGATCCCTAGCTACGTTGCTAGCTCTGAGAGCTTCCTATATAGCACACCCTGGGTTCATTCACCTGCATTCTCTCAGTGCCTCAGAGGAGAACCAGCATCCAACATGTCCTTTGCTGGAGATCACTGAGTGGGCAAGGGTTGAGTCAGGATGAAAGTCCAATTGCCCTGTGAAGCTAGCCTGCTGCTCTAGTGACCTCTCAACATCACCTCCTCACTTCCATAACAGCCAACAGTCTGTGCTAAAGGGTCAGCCACCACAGAACCCAGACATCCACCAACACTATTCCAGAGGTGGCTGTGGAATTACTTTTTAAATAGCAATGAATATTTAAAGTGGTAGACCTTGTGTCAAGTGGATGCCCGTCTGTGGGCAGACTCTTCCGATCAGACGGAGGTCCAAACTGAACAAAGCCTAATCTCCCACAAAGGAGAGGGAATTCTACCTGCAGATGGCCTTCAGACTCAAATCCACCCTTCCCCAGGTCTCCAACTGCAAATTATTGACTTACCAAGCTTCTAGTCGTGTGAAACAATTATTTACAATGAACCACCAATTAAACGTAGGCACAGATAGGGATGGGAAGGAGCAAAGAGATTTCTATGTGGCTATTTCTAGCAATTTTTAATTGCTTGGGAGAGAAGACTCCTCAGTGAAAGTGGGGTGATCTTCTTGATGATGTGGCTTCCTTGAAGTCACCCATGGGCCTGTGAGGAACCCCAATAAACTACTGGTCTACCAAGCCAGACTTGGGTGTAATCATTCTTTGTTGTCAGGACTATGCGGGCTGAATAAACATTTTTCCCATCTGTGCAGGAAAAGTCACACAAAATACACTCACACACACAGCAATACAAACACACAAATGATGTGTTGTGTATAATTTCTCCCTCACATTACTCCAAGGCCACATCCTCAACTATTTCAGTAGGTGCCACCCTCCTCCCCTAGAGATGCCAGTATGAGAGAGTGTGCCAACTCAAGCTTGGCTAATCCTGAAAAGATAGTTAATGTGTCTTTGACATCTTAAACTTTGAAGAAAGTCTGCTTGGCATAGTAGTTTGCTTCCTGTTGCTGTGACAAGCATCATGGGGAGGACAGGGTTTGTTTGGCTTATACATCTCAACCACAGTCCATCACTGAGGAAGTCAAGGCAGGAAGTCAAGCAGAAGCAGAGACGGGATCCATGGAGGAGTGCTGCTTACTGGCTTGCTCAGCCTGCTTTCTTATACAACCAAAGACCACTTGCTCAGGGTGGCTCTGCCACAGTCGGCTGGGCCTTCCCTCATCAATGATTAATTATGAACATGGCCCACAGGACAATCTGATATTGGTAATTCCTCAACTGAAGTTGCCTCTTCCCAGGTGACTCCAGTTTATGTCAAGATGAATGAATACAAGCTTACCAGCACATGGGGCCTGATGCTACCTGCGGAAGGGCCAATTATATAACTGTGCTCTCTTTAAGGTATATGGAGAATGTCAAGCATATATCTCACGTGTATTAATGTGAATTAAGAAAACTGTCTCGAAAGAGATAACAGAACAGGCCAGGTGTGTGGGTGCATGCCTCCAACGCTAGCACTCAGCAGGCAGAAGCAGGTAGATCTCTGTAACTTTGAAGCCAGCCTAGTCTACATAGCAAGCTCTAGACTAGTCAAGAGTTACGTAAAGGGACACTGTCTTAATAAAAACTTTTAAAGGTAACAGAACAGAGAGGTAGTGGTGCCCAACATGGCTGGAGGGGAGGTACTGACTTTTATATTACATCCAAAAGAGAGTGAGTATGCTGGCCTCCAGTATCCACCGTGTTCATCACTGTCCTCCCCACAATACACTGTTCAGCCTTCTGAGCTCACTGTGTTTACCCCCTCAATTTTATTAATTCTCCCGGCCTACATATCATCATTCCTCATCAAAAAGGTGGCTTAAAAGTCACTCCTGTTGGAATCTCTTCTCATTCTCCATGCTCAGCATAGAGTAAGAACGTTGTGGATGACAGTTGACAGTGACTAATATGGATGCTGTCCTTGGCAGCACTTATTGACTGTCAGTTTATCCAACAAGTATTTATTGTGCTAGGAGGTCCCTATGCTCCCAAGGCTCACAGCCCATTATTGATAGAGGGTATTCTCTGCCTGGTACACAGAGGGCTGGATGTTAATGTCAATGACATCAACCAGGAGTGATGAGAACACAGCAGAAAACAATGTATTTGAGTTTCTGAAAGGGGAAGGGAGGAGGATGGGAGAGCGGGAGCTAGAGAGCAGGCCTCCTAGAAGAGAAAAAAAAGAGTACAGAATGAGGAGGAAGTCTGCATGAAGGGGACACTTGGCCCCTTGGCAGAGGACACTGCATCAACAATGGCTGGAAGGTACATGAGCTACCCAGCACAGGAAAGGGGGGGAGTTTGGGGTACATGGTGGGAAATGAGACTAAAAGCAAAGAACAGGAAATGATCTTATTGGGAACTCCATGGATTCCCCAGAGTCCTCAGCATGATAGGAAATCACATCAGATGGCTGCAGGGGCTGGGGATGGAAGGACAGTGCTGTTCCTACTGCAGGAAAATAAGACCCATTTCTTAGTGTTGTCTGTAAGAAAGGCAGTTCTCATCGGTGGGCCATCCTGGGCCATCCTGACCTCTATGGCCAGTGGCTGAGAAACAGATCTGATTGATTAACTACTTGGATATTACAGCATCCCTCTCAGACAGGACTTCTATGATGACAATGATCTTCAAATGCTCAGCCTTTGGGTACTATTCTGTACCTAGCCCCTTCCACTCGAGGAGTAAGTGGCTTCACCAGAAACACTGCCCTCTACTTTCTAGTTAGAATTTCTCTCTCTCTCTCTCTCTCTCTCTCTCTCTCTCTCTCTCTCTCTCTCTCTCTCTCTGTGTGTGTGTGTGTGTGTGTGTGTGTGTGTACCAGCTGCCAGTGTGAGCATGAGTTTGAAAGCTCTTGAGATTCTGGTTGCCACTCTCCTCCAGGAAGGTATCAGGGCATTGGAAAAGAAGTTGTTAATGGAGGCTGGGGATATGGCTCAGTCTATACAGTGCTTTCAATATTAGTTAGGTCCCCAGAACCCATGAAAAAAGTCAGACCTGGTGGGTATACTCTTGTAATCCTAGTGTTGAGAAGGAGACAAGGTGATCCCTGGGGGTTGCTGGCCAGCTGCATGGCCTAGTTGGTGAGCTCTAGAATGGCACTGGAGGAATGATACCCAAGATTGTCGTCACCTCCATACATATATACAAAGCATGTAAACATACATGCACGCACATGTGCACTCAAATACACAAATATAGGCACATACACAAAAGGAGGGCCAGCAGGCAAGACATCCATCTCCTCAGCCAGCAGTCTACAGCATCTTACAGTGCAGAACCGAGCAAACAACTTCTGTTCTCTGAGCAAAGGAGTCAAGCATAGGTCTCACAGAGCATCCAGGAGAGACCAGAACTGTCCCCATGGTGCTCTCTGCTTATAGCTACACAGGCCTGTGAAGTGTTTGCCAAAGAAGACCCAGAACTCCGATCCCTAAGTCTCGAGGACAGTGGTGGAAAGATTTTAAGTTCATATGATTACCAAGCCCCACCCCCATACACCACGCGTGTCCACGGCACACAGGAAAACACATGGCGCTGTCTAGTGACGGTTAATATTAGGCAAGATCACTGTGACACATGCATTAGCCAGAGGGCACCGTCAGTTGGTACAAATGAGTGAGCCACAAAAGCATCTCCCTGTGGTCACACAGGGATGGAGAATAGATGAAATGTCAGCTTTTCCTAATTTATGACTAATATATGTCCAGGGTAGAAAAGCTGTGAGTAAGGCGGGAAGCAAATCTTCCTGCCTCCTAAGCCATCTGGCCCCTTTCTTACATGTTGCCACTTTCTTACATATTATGCTCCAAAGATTCTACACAAAGTAAACTTGTATGTGCCCACACATGTACACACATGTACACTCACATGGATGCACATAATTATTCCTATGTACTTATGATCAAATATCCACAGTTCTAAAACTTGATTTTTACAAAAATTGACTAAACATCTTAAGATGGATTTATATCAGTTCACAATAACTGATTATTCTTTGAAATCATGGTGCAATAGTCCTCTATTCATATTTAAAAGGGACTTCAAAGCCAGGCATGGTGGCACACACCTTTAATCATGAGGCAGAGGCAGAGGCAGAGGCAGGAGGATCTCTAAGTTTAAAGCCAGCCTGGTCTATGTGGTGAGTTCCAGGACAGTAGGACAGCCAGGGTTGCATAGTGAGGACATAGTAAGACTCTGTCTCATAAAACAAAAACACAACAGAAGGAAGGAAGGAGGGAAGGCAGGAAGGAAGGAAGAGAGGGAGGGAGGGAGGAAAGGAGGGAGAGAAGAAGGAAGTTAGGAAGGAAGAAAGGGAGGAAGGAAGGAAGAGAGAGAGGGAGAAAGGAAGGAAGAAAGGGAGGGAGGAAGTCAGGAGGGAGGGAGGGAGGAAGAAATGAAGGACGGGAAGAAGGATGGGAAGAAGGAAGGGAGGAAGGAAGTCGGGAGGGAGGGAGGAAGGGAGGGAGGAAGAAAGGGAGGGAGGGAAGAAGGGAGGAAGGGAGGGAGGAAGGAAGAAGCAACTGTGCCTTTTATAATCCTTTGGTTTTATAACTGATTCTTCACTATGTAACCATATAAAATGTTCATCATTTCATATGTACGGGTCTATCTTTAGAATACATTCTTAGAGGTACTATGGGTATAATTTAGAAGTCAAACATCATGTAAAACTTTGAGTTTCATAGGCATTTCCACGTTATTCTCCCCAGGGATCTGCAATAAATTAACACATGTGCCTGACTCTGGCTCTGGTCTCCTCCTTTGTGCTGTTCAGACACTTTACGGTTATACAGGTTATACCTGGTTGCATCTACATGAATATTTATTTAAATGTAGAGAGCTGGTTCTCTGTTACTCACTTTTCCTAGAAATATTCTGCCCTCATTTTAAAACTGCTCACACAATAATAGCTAGCATGCATATGTCCAGTATTTTCTGTGTACCAGACATCAGACTTGGCCTTTGAAAATATGTCAGCCTGTGGAATTACGATGTGACTCTGAGGCATATACTATAAGCTGTTTTTCCAGAAGTAGACACAGGTTTGAGGCTGCATGGAACTTATCCATGCCTAGAGACAGTGACTGTACAGTTACAATGCAAACCAAGAGACTGTCCACCCACATGCCAATCCTGGTGTTTAAGCATAAGATTTATTTTTGTGATTTTTAAAAAGGACTTTTTATTTTATATATTTTCTGTCTGTACATATCCGTGCAGGCCAGCAGAGGGCACCAGATCTCATTACAGATGGTTGTGAGTCACCATGTGGTTGCTGAAAACTGAACTCAGGACTTCTGAAAGCATAACTAGCATTCTTAACCTCTGAGCCATCTCGCCAGCCAAATTTTTTGATTTTTAAAAACCCCTTTTCATTTGTTTTTGAGACAAGGCATATGTAGACTAGGTTGGCATTGAACTCCTCATTATCCTCCTGCCTCTGCCTCCTCTGTTTTCTAAATCTTTGATTTGAATGATTAACTCATTTGACTTTCAGAATGTCTCATCTGCTAATGTAAATAACTGAACCTTTGTATTTCCCTTGAGTGCCATTTTAATTATACCCCATAAATTTTTTGAATAGTGTAGTATGTGAGTACCACTTTGCCAGTTAGAAATCTGTACCATGTAAGACATAGAATTCATGCTTATGACATTTAGGTTTTTCATTCAATGCTATGTCAGGTTCTTCCTCCCCGCCCCCAAGACAAGGCTTCTTTGTGTATCAGTCCTGGCTGAGACCAAGATGGCTTTGAACTCACTGAGATCCACCTGCCTCTGCCTCTGCCTCCCGAGTGCTGGAATTAAGGGCGGCAGCACCACCATTGGGCTTGTTCTATTTTTTAAACTAAATGTGCACATCTACTTCTAAATACTTCATCTTTGTTAAATTGTTATTTTAATGAACCTCTTTTGCTGTAGAAGAAATCATAGTAGATATGATTTCTGACTAGTTTTCATTGGAACATTAACAACATCTCTCAGGCAGGAAGCTGACATAGGAGTAGTCCAAGTTCAAGGTCAGTTTGAGCTACAAAACCAGAACTTGTCTCAAAGCTAAAACAAACAAAAAGAGAACAAAAGAAAAAAAAAAGCCCAGCATAACTGATGTAGTCATGGAATTATCAGAATTAGTTTTTAAGTAACTTAATACTCTGGCTCACACTGCATCCTCGCCATCTGCTGCACTGTGCCTACCTGGGTCTCCAGAGCCATCACTGTTCCTCTCACTCTCCCCGTCTTCCTGGCCATCTGCGTTCTGCTGGGTGTGCTGCAGACTCAGCTTGTGACAGACCTCGAAGGCCTGTCCTACTGTCCTCACGATTCTCATAGCTTGACTCTGGGAAGGAAGAAGAAAAAGAAAGAGTGAAGGATGCAGAGACTCCACAAGGGCAGCGCAAAGGTTGGTGCGGCTGAGGATGTACAAGGTGGTCAGAAACCTACACGGCCAGAGAAGGAAAGGCAGAAAAAAAGAAAAACCGAGGCTCCTCAGATGTACAGTACTCTAAAACTAGCACCCATGTCACCACAGTTCTGAAATGATCACCAACTGAAGACAGGTGCCAGAGGCAAGTGTTCCAATTCTGGACTTTGTCCCTTCCAGTATAAAAGTAGTTCTGATCCTTCAGAATCTGTCAACCAGCTACTACCAGATGTCCAATAAGCCCATCAACCTAGGAGGGACTCAGCCATCTTTTTACTTCAAATGATAGCTCCTACAAGTGGGCCTCTGTGGGGCTGAGAAGGCAAGGGTTAACTGCAGAATCAGCTGAAGACTGGCATCCACACACTCTCATGGTGCCCAGCAGAAAGTAGAGGCAAGTATTCCCAAGTCTTTCTTAAGACATTATACACCCAGATCTGCACACCAAGTGCACAGAATGGGGAGAATCTCTTCAATAAATGGTATTAGGAAAATTAAATATTCATATGCAGAAGAATGAAATTTGACTCCTGTCTATACCACATATAGTAATTAAATAAGAGTTGAAGCTGTAAAACTACTGGAAGAAAACAGGGATGAGGCTCCAGGGCACTGGTTCGAGCAATGACAGTTTGAGACATGGTACAGCTCCATCCTTGCTTTTATTCTGCTATTTAACTGCTTCCTTTAGGAGCCCAATGGGAAAGCTCATAGGCTTCCAGGATTCCACAACTTAATAAGGAAAGGAAGGGAGGGCAGAGAAACATTCCCAGACTGTGTTCAGCAACCCAGCAGGCTGCACAGGTAGGGTCCCTGGGCATGGTTGGTCTCAAAGGTGTTAACACTGGTTATAAAACCTGATGATTAGCTAACTCTCACCACTTTAAAATACACCACATACAATACCCAGTCACAGAGCCCACCATGAGGAAAGATAAACATCATAACATCATCAACTGTGGGCTATTTCACTCGACTTTACCTTATTCCCAAGTCAAGTACTAGCTATGTTTTGATGATCTGAGTTTGGGTGTGACTACTACCTAGTGAGACCACTGATAGTATTCAAAACCCGCCCCCCCCATGACATCAGAAGTCAGGTAGAGTTCATCAGCATGAGGTAGATGGCACTGTATCACTACTCTAGTATCCAGTGATTTGACAGGCCTAGGGGGTCCTGCCGAGGTTACACTTGGATCCATTTGTACTTCTCATGATGTTGAGGTTTGTCTGTGTCTCCCATATTACATCTGTGAACTCCTTCCCACTTCCAAAGCATGAGAACCTGTACTTTGGAAGGCATGGGACCTAACAAATCAATGACAAACATGCCCCAACTTTTTAATCTCTCTTTTCTAAAATAATAATAATACACCATTTGAGAATCTCATATATTTTGATCATATCTGCCCAAACTACTCCCTTTAACTCTTCCCAGATCCATCCCTTACTGCCTATTCCCCCCAAACTTCATGCCTACCTCCTCTTTTTTAATAGTCTACCAAACTAAAATGTGTGCTGTCCATATACTTCTATGTGGCCATCCAGTAGAGTGTAGGCAGCTTCACCAGGAGCTACACCTTTAAGGAAGCCCCTCCCCTAGAAACCATAAAGTGTCCCTAGTTCCTCAGTTAGGGGTGGGCTCACAAACCCCTCTCAGTCTACTCTAGAATATCATCTGCCTTAATCTTGTGCAGGCAACCACAGCTGCTGTGAGTTCATGAGTGCAACTATTTCACTTTTGACCATGAGGTGAGGATGCTCCCTGGTCAGGGCTGGACCAGGAAGCTCCACCCTCGGGTAAAATGAACCCTTGCTGCAGCATCAGTGATGACGCCCACACTCACCTTCTAAGTTTCCTCACCCTCTCTCATTTCTGATGAAAAGAGCAGGCAGCCTACAGCTTCTCAATCTTTTACAGCAAAGCTCATTCGCCAAGTCACTATATGTGTGGCTTTCTTCTGTCTGCCACTGCCCCTTACATGGAAGATTTTACTTCACTAACTTTTGCAGATTTTCCTCTCCTAGACATCTTTACATGATGCAGAAAAGCTAAATGCCTTAGGTTATCCAAATAAAAATGGGTAAGACTAAGTGTTTTGTTTTGTTTTAAGATAGGATTTCTTTGTGTAGCCCTGACTGTCCTCTGGAACTCGCTCTGTAGACCAGGATGGCCTCAAACTCACAGAGATCCACCTGCCTCTGCCTCTTTAGTGCTGGGATCAAAGGTGTGCACTACTACCACCACCACCCAGCTGAGCAATATACAAAGACCAAGAGTTTAGGTCTGTGACATTCTTATATAAATTAACCCAGAAATCTCACTCAGAGTAAATATTTTCAAGGAACAGGTCAGTTTTCCCCATTATCCCAAGACTAAAGACTCAGTTTCCCTCTTTAAAATACAGTCCTTCCCATCACCACTCTGGGGGTCAAACTCAGCGAGGTGGCACCTAACACTACGCATCAACAGCTAGGTTGAGTCCAGATGCCCTTTGACCTCTAAGACTTCCCTTTCATCAACACTGAAAAGTGCTTTTAGAGGACTTTATAAGACCTTGGATGTAGAGCAATTGCTGGAAGGCAGCCAGCAGGGGCAGATCCCCCTCACAGTTACTCTCTGCATGGTCCAATAGGTTCCTTTCTATAAGCTAACACCACTTGGTGATCCTAGGCAGCACGAAAACTGGTTCTGTTTGCTGTCCTGAAATGCAGGAGTCACACACACTGAGACTTCATAGAAGGCTGTGTCCCAACCTGCCAGGGAGAACTTGATTAAAGAGAGGCTTTAAAATGAAATCTCTCAGAGGTGTTTCCATGAAGACTTTAGGTTTCCTGGATCAAATGGAAGCAGCTGCCCAGATCACATGACATCTGGAAATCAATGGTTTAAAGAGGTTTAAAGATTACAGGCATTCATGCGCACAGCAGAGCCAGCAAGTGGACTATTAGGAAGACAGCCTTTTCCAGCTTTTAGAGATCTGGCCACTCTCTGCCTGGGATTTACTAGATTGGAAGGCAGGAGAAGCATCATTATACCGCATGATTTTTGCACAAATCCAGCTTAGTTTTACATAATCCCCTGAAAGTGCTGGGTGGCACATGGACCAGATCTTCCTGTCCAGAAGCCAATTCCCTTAGCAGCCTAAAGCTGTGTGGCCTCGTGGTTATCGAGACTGGCTTGGATATGGCTGCTCTGATGTTTTCAGAGCTGGAACGGAATACCCAACATCGGAGTGGCTCTCAGCAGCAGACGGAGAGCACCGACACTCCCTAGAAGTGCCAGTTACAGGCAGTTTTGTGGAAACAGGCCTGGGAAGGCAGCTACCTCAGAACCAAATGCCTCTTATCTCACCCATCTCTCTATCCTCTTGACAGAAGCCCTCTCCCAGCCTGCAGGACCTCTCACCCTAGTACAGAAACCAAGTCAAGATGGATGAATGGCTACTCGCCTCATGCCTAATGTGGGCTTCAGCATAGCAGGTGTCAGTGTTGGATAAACTGCCACAATGAAAATGACACCATTCTCTGTGAGTGTGGGCTATATGCTCAAAAGTAGACAAAGGCTGGTATATTAGCTTTAGGGAGACATAAATCAAAAGTTGATTCCTGTACTTGATTGGTCCACAGAAAAATCATGTATAACACCATTTCATCTTCTCAGTCTAATGAGCCTGCTGCTGGTAGGTTATATACACACAGGAGTCTTTTCAGTGCTGTATACATGTAAAACATGGTGTGATTAGTCCAATCCTAAAAGTGGTTTGATAGTTGCTGGCACTCTTCTGAATTTCACTGCCCTGGAAAAAGCTCTCTCTCCTTTACACCCTGTGGAGACGATTAAAGAGCCATCAGATGAGCAAGAAAAGCAGGGAACAAAAGCGCAAAGTGCAAGATGCCCAAGAGATGGAGGGAAGATGAAGCTGCTGGGGACGAGAAAAAGGAAGAAGAGTGAGGGCTCATTCTGTCAAGAAGCTCTGCTCCTGGTCTACCATCCCTCTCCTCTGCTCTGTGGCTACCCACCTCTCCATCTTCTGGACACTGAGGATTTGTCTTCCAAGTATTTCTGAGTTCTAGGGAATTGACTTCCACAAACTCAGTTGTGCAATGACTTTTGTAATCCTTACCTGCCACAGCAAAAAGTACAGTGCCTTTATGTTGAACTCAGCAACCTCAGAATCTCAACAAAAATAGAACTGAATGTCATGTTTCTTTAATGCGTCCCTTAAAGGTATCTCAGAAAGGAGATAGGGAGACAGCTCAACTGGGAACGTGTTTGCCACATAAGCATGAGGGTCAGAGTTTGATTTTCAGGAAATACAAACGCACGTGCGCGCGTGTGCACGCGCGCACACACACACACACACACACACACACACACACACACACACAGGGCAGGAGACTGAGAGAGACAAGAGAGTGTGAGCATGAGGCATGGTGGCTCAACATTATAATTAATGCCAGCATTAGGAAGATGGACACAGGTGTATCCCTTGGGCTTATTAGCTAGCCATCCTAGCCTAATGAACAAGTTCCAGGCCAATGAAGGGACTCTGTTTCAAAAAACAAGCTATACAGCACCTCAGGAATGACACCAAGGTTGACCCCTGGCCTCTGAATGCACATATGCACCCATCATTCATGCAAAATAAAATAAAGGTACCTTCAACTTGGCATTGTCAAGTGACTACAAGCTGAAGCATGAGTATATTTATATGTGAACATATATATGATATGTAAAGTACTAAGGGTATGAAATAAATGATAGCTGGGTCAGGATTTTGTCTACTTTGTTATTGATGGCTTGATTACATAATTTGATAAAGGGACTTTCTTAGACCATGAATCATTGCCCAGTATAGAAAGTTTACTTTCAAAGTGGGTCTGACTTTCAACCCTGACTGGAAATAATGGTC